TCCAGAGAAAAAGTCCATCTGCTGTTGTCTCTCACATCAAAATCCAGCCACATATTTGTTTAGAGCTGTTTTTGTCTTCTCCAGATGTTAACTGATGGACTGGAGTGGTGTGGATTACTTGTGGATTATTGTGATGTTTTTATCAGCTGTTTGGACTCTCATTCTGACGGCACCCATTCACTGCAGAGCATCCATTGCTGAGCAAGAAAAAGAAACTCTAATCTAATCAAAGTGGCGTTTCTGCAATTTCCACCATGATAGAGTTTTCTCTAGTCTCTTTTTACTCCAAATGCAAGTATTTTTATGGTATTCAGTGCTATAATAACTAAATTTTAAAATAAGATGGTTGTGGATGATTGTCTTATTCAATAGAGTCGAGCACACCGTCTGTTAGCCGGACGCGAGCAGACTGTCTTCACATTTCAGTGTTCACGACTCTGCATGAAGCCTTTTATCAGCTGCTGTGAGTGTGTGCGGAGCTGACAGCGTTATAATGAGAGTTACGGGAAGTGACCATCATTAAGTGATGTTTCAGCCTGAACTGTTCTTCAGTACTGCAAGATGTGTGAGGCCTTCAGTAACAGTTCAGTCTGTCTTCATTTACTCCCCCTCATGTCCATCCAAACCCGTATGACTGTCTTTCATCAGTGGAAAACAAAAGGGGGTGTTTTTACTGTCGTAATGAGGCTGTTGAGTTCCAAAAATGATGAAAACAGCAGCATGAAAGTAGTTCACATGACTCGTGCACTATATTTTGAGTCTCCTGAAGTCATGCGATTGCTATGTTTAAGAAACAGAGTCAAATTTAATTTTTATTTCACTGAAAATGATTCACTTTATCTCAATTAAGAAGATATGGTGTTGGATTTGACATCAATGAAAAAAATAAACAATTTCAAATAATGCCTGAAATAATGGAAATGGAATCATTTTGGAATTTAACATTAGTGCAAACAAGATTTATGAGCTTCACTTAAGAGGAATATTTTGGGAAAGAACTATTTAAAATTTTGTTTAGTGGACATTATAAGACTTGGAATATAGTGGAAGTCATGTAGAATTCATTCATTCATTCATTCATTTAAATTTCTGCATTTGTATTTATTTTAATTATTTAAATTTTTTATTAATTAATAATGAATTTAATTATTTTTAATTATTTTTGTTTTATTTTAAGTTGAATTATTTTTAATGACTTATTTGAATTAATCTTTAATTAATTAATTGTAATGAATTTTAGTTATTTGGAATTATTTTTTATTTATTTCAATTGATGTCAGTTATTTCAAATATTTTTTTATTTTAATTATTTACATTTATTTTAATTAATTAATTATAATACATTTTTTATTTTTTTTTTTATTTATTTTAAGTTAAATTATTACAACTTTCTGTTTATTTTAAATTATTTTTTACCTTTATTTT